TCAAAAAAAAAAAAAAAACTCATTTAAGGGATTGATTTGTGGAACCTGAACCTCAAGGATGTCTATGAAATGTAGTTTTTTGTTTGCCAATGTCTGCCTTGCCTTAAGACACACCAGAAGAGGATCAAATAGTGAGAGCCAGTCCGTTGTTGTAGATTGTAAGTAGATTAGTTTTTTCAGTGACCTTTTTTTTCATGCAACACTATTTTGAAGACATCGGTGACTTTTAAGGATGAGTTTTGTTTGTTATTTTTCAAAAAGCTAACCTGATTATGTAAGTAGAGGGAAAATTTCTAAAGAAATAAGTGGATTATTATACTTTAGTGTTTCAGTATTTTAAAAGGAAAAGTCATAGAGAGAAATAGATTGGCTCATTGTTGCTTTTGGTTCCTCTTTTGTGTTGTATAGGCATGTACTATACTCCACCACCACAGTGTGTGTCCCGCTTTGTCCGACCACCACCGTCTGCTCCCGAACCTGGTCCTCCATACTTGGATCATTATCCACCCTACCTCCAAGATCGTGTAGTAAACTCTCAGTATGGCACACAGCCACAACAGTACCCACCTATGTACCCACCTCACTATGATGGCCGACGAGTATACCCTGCTCAGTCTTACACGAGAGAAGAGATATTCCGAGAAAGCCCTATACCCATTGAGATTCCACCTGCAGCAGTACCATCCTATGTACCGGAATCCAGAGAAAGATTCCAGCCGATGGAGGGTTACTATCCAGTGGCTCCTCATCCAACTCAGATCAGACCTTCGTACCTCAGAGTATGCTGTGGTTTTTTTTCTTATGACACAGACTTAATTTGATTATTGCTTGCAGTGATTCCTTACATTTTTTGCCATGATAATAACATGATTGATTTAACATTATCAGTTATTTTTTTATAAGAATGCTGCTTCTTTCTTTCTAATCTTTTCATAATTTGGGTAGATTTTTTGTTTGTTTTTTGTTTGGTTTTGTTTAGACTCAAGATCTTGCTATGTTGTCCAATCTGGGTTCAAGCGATCCTCCCGTATCAGCCTCTTGAATAGCTTGGATTACAGGTGCATGCTACTGTGCCTGGCTTGGTTATTATTTTTAAAAATTTAATTAATGGGGGGAAAAAATTCCACCTCGTCCCTACTAACCATTCTTAGCTTATGAACGTTAGATGGTTTTTTTAAATAATTCTGGATCTACTTGGAAATTATGGCGAACTAAAAGAAACCTAAATTTAGCTTTTTGGGAGATCTTGAGAGTTTTGTGGGGCTTTTCTTAGTTTTGCTTTGTTCCGTTAAAGTCTCAGTATTTCCAGTTGTTAAGATGGGTATACAAACTGCTTCTTATTTAAAATATATGCTAAATGAACTAATAGGTTCTGAAATTCTTTTTCAATTTTAACTAATCTTTCCATTTTCAGGAGCCTCCTTATAGCCGGCTTCCTCCTCCTCCCCAGCCCCATCCTAGTCTAGATGAACTACATCGCCGGCGAAAGGAAATAATGGCCCAACTAGAGGAAAGAAAGGTTATCTCTCCACCTCCTTTTGCACCTTCACCAACATTGCCTCCTACCTTCCATCAAGAGGAAGTAAGTACATCAATTTTAGTATCGTTTATCAATTTTTCCTTTATCATTTTGTGTATGTGTGTGTGTATGTGTGTCCTGTTTGAGTAATCTTTGCCTATTCCTCAGGTTATGAAGATATTTTCCTATGTTTTCTTCTAAGAGGCTTTTTATTTTATTTCACATTCAGATCTACAATCCATCTAGAATTGATTTTTGTATATAATGTGTTGGGAGTCAAAATCTGTTTTTTTTTTTTTTTTTCATAAGGATATTTCATTGACCAAGCACCATTTAATGAAATGAGTTTCCTTTCCCCAGTGCCCTGCAGTAGCCTTTGGCATAATAAGCTGACCATGTGTGTTTCTCAACCATATTCTGTTCCATTGATCTATTTCTATACTTACACCGGTATCACATTCTCTTTGTGTAATTTTATCATAAGTCTTGATATGTGGTGGTATATGTTTTCCAGTATTGTTCTTTTAAACTCAGCATATTGATATCCACAAAAACATCTTCTGCAATTTTAATTAGGATTATGTTGAATCTCTGGATCTGTACTGTCTAATATGGTAGTCATTAGCCACATGTGGCTGTTGAGTGCATACATTGTGGCTAGTTCAAATTCAGATGTGCTATAATCATAAGATACACACTGGATCTCACAAGAATGGAAAAACAAAGCATGTACTCATTATTAAATTGGAACTAAATGATCAACACTCGTGTATATACGGTAGTAAAATTAAATGGAAATCAAGCAGGCGGGAGCAGGGAGGAGGGATGGGTACATTCATAATGGGTACAATGTACACTATCTGGGTGATGGACACACTTATAACTTTGACTCAAATTGTACAAAAGTAATTCATGTAACCAAAATGTTTGTACCCCTGTAATATTCTGAGATAAAAAATAATAAAACGTTAAAAAATAAAAAGAGTAAGATAATACACTGGATCTGAAGATTTAGTACCAAAAAAGTAAAATATTTCATTGATATTTTTAATATCTTGGCTATCTCAAGGTAAATAAAATGTATTATTGGCTGGTTGCAGTGGCTCATGTCTGTAATCCTACCACTCTGGGAGGCTGAGGTGGGAGGATCGCTTGAGGTCAGGAGTTCGAGACCAGTCTGAGCAAGAGTGAGACCCCCGTCTCTACTAAAAATAGAAAAAATTAGCCGGATGTGGTGGTGTGCACCTATTATCCCAGCTACATGGGAGGCTGAGGCAAGAGGATCCCTTGAGCCCAGGAGTTTGAGGTCGCTGTGAGCTAGGCTGACACCACGGCACCCTAGCCTGGGCAACAGAGCAAGACTGTCTCACACACACAAAAAAAGTAATATTAAAATTAGTTTCACCTGTTTCCTTTTTTTTTAATGTGGCTACTAGAAATTTTAAATTTATGTATGTGAGTCATGTATTTGTATTGGACTGTGTTGCTTTAGATCAATATCGTAAGAAATGACATCTTTCTAATAAGTCTCCATGAACATGATGTACCCTTGTATTTATTTAGATCTTTTTCATACTTAGTACTTAACTTTAGTATCTTGCTCATTGTAAATTAAATTTATTCCTAGGTAGCTGATGTTCTTTGAAACTATTTTAAGTAGAATTCTTTTTTTTTTTTTTAATTTCAGCATATTATGGGGGTACAGATGTTTAGGTTACGTGTGTTTTCCTTGGTTCCCCCCCCCAAGTCCGTGTTTCAAATATGTCCATCCTTCGGGTAGTGCGCATTGCACTCCTTAAGTAGAATTCTTTTCGAAATTTCATTTTCTATTTGTTACTAATATAGAGAAATTAAATAGTTTTTCATGCACCGACCCTTCTATTCAGCAGGCTTGCTAAATTTCCTTATTAATTCTAATATTTGTTAGTGTATTCTTCTGGATTTTCGGTGCACACAATCATGTCCTCTGTATAATAACTTTTTTCCCCTTTTGATTTTTTTCTCATCTCGTTGCACTTCAGTGTAATGCTGAATAAAAGTGATGATAACAGGTATTCTTGACTCATTTCTGATCTTTGAGTAGATGGATCTTTTATTAATTCTCCATTATGATGTTTGCTGTAGGTTTTTTGGTAGATAATCTTTATCAGATTAATGAAGTTTCCTTCTATTCCTGGTTTTGGAATTTTTTTTGAATAAGTGAGACATGTTAAATATTTATTTAACTCAATAATGAGGAAGCCAACAGGATAGTAAAGTTGGTTTAAAGAATCAGAAAGACAGGTGGTGATAGGTAGTGAAAGTCAGAACAAAAACAAGGACGATGAAATAGGTTGCTTCAAAAAGAGAACTGGTTGATGGTACCACAGGACAATAAACCATAAATTGGAGAGTCATCTTCTTTGTATTTCTATAAGACAGTGCTAATAGTTATGAATGAGTGTTGTCTTACTATCTTTTTAATCTCTATATGGTCTATAATGATGCTAATTTTTCCATTTCTGTTATTAGTAATTTTTTTGTTAGTCTTGCTAGGAATTTATCAGTCTTTTTTTTTTTGATTATCAGTTTTACTTGTCTTTTTGAAAAGCCAACTTTTTGCTTCTTTGATCATATTTAGTTTGTTTTGTCGATTGTATATACTGCCTCAGCTTATAATGTGTGTATGTTTTTACAAAGAGTCAAATAAGTTTTCTTAGCAGGATTGTGGTTATTATGTAAGGAACATATCTTGTTCTGGTCCTTGCTGTTTGGCGTGCTGGCTCACGCCTGTAATCCCAGCACACTGGGAGGCTGAGGCGGGCAGATTGTCTGAGCTCAGGAGTTTAAGAACAGCCTGAGCAAGAGTGAGACCCTGTCTCTACTAAAAAAAATAGAAATTATCTGGACAATTAAAAATATATATATATTAAAAAATTAGCCGGGCATGGTGGCACATGCCTGTAGCTACTCGGGAGGCTGAGGCAGGAGGATCACTTGAGCCCAGGAGTTGGAGGTTACTGTGAGCTACGCTGACGCCACGGCACTCACTCTAGCCCGGGCATCAAAGCAAGACTCTTTAAAAGAAAGGAACTTATCTTGTATCCTTTATGTATAGAATTATGATTCTAAACATTGCTAACTGACAAATTATTAATAATAAGCAATAAAAATCAAAAACTGAAGTGCATCACACATAGTAAACAGTAACCTGTTGGGTATATGAAGGTGATCTACTAAATAGAAGTTATTCACAGTATCTAGCTTTCCCATCTAAATACTTGGGATGAACTTTTCACAATAATGTAAGTTATTAATAAAGTCATAACATCTGTTAATGTAGTTTTATTTGTAAAGTATAAACAACTGGTATAGTGTTTCAGAAGTTGTATATTAGAGACATCTGAGAACTTTGTTATGCCATACTTTTTTATAAAAAAATATGGGAAGAAATATGACATCGTGAAAAGTGAGCTGATTTTCAAATCGAACGTACTTAACTATTTAAGGTTCAGCTGTGTCCTTCATCGTGTGATCTTTATTAAGTTACTTAGCCTCCATGAACTCTGAGGCTAGGTTTCTTCATTTGTAAAGCATAATAAAGCCTACCTCATAGTGGTGTGGTAAAGATTAAATGAGACATAAGGCATTGACCACATAGTAGGTATTCAGTAAATAATAACTATTCATACTGTTATTTCTAATAAAAATTATACTATTGCCTGGCTATTAAGGAACTTTATCTAGAATCATTTTAGTTGCCAATATTCAAAGCTATACATTTAAACCTCAGTTCCGATTACAAACAACCTACATAGAGTTGTACCAAATTCATACATTATAGAAATACATAATATAGAAAAAAATTTCTTCAAAATCTCATTTTCTATAACCATTGTCAGTTTATTACATATTTCAGCTTTTTTTGTGCTTGAGCTATTAATAACATGTTTTTCATTGACACATAATTGTACATATTTATGAGATCCAGAGTAATATTTCGTACATGTATATAATGTTCAATGATCAAATTAGGATAATTAGCTAATCTGTTACCTCAAACATCTTTCTTTGTGTTGGGAACATTCAAAATTGTTCTAGCTTTTAGAAAACATTCAGCAAATTATTGACTGTGTTCACCCTATAGTGCTATAGAACACTAGAACTTATTCCTCCTATCTAGCTATAATTTTTACCTGTTAACCAAGCTCTCCCTATCATCCCCCTCCCCTCATTCCCTTCCCAGCCTCTAATAACCACGGTTCTACTCAACTTCTATGAGTCCCAACTTTTTTTAGCTCCCATGTGTGAGTGAGAACACATGGTATTGATCTTTCTGTGCCTCATTTCACTGAACATAATGTCCTCCGGGCTTATCCATATTGCTACAAGTGGTAGGATTTCGTTATTTTTTATGGCTAAATAATATTCCATGTATATATACCACATTTTCTTTATCCATTCATCTGTTGATGGACATTTAGAATGATTCCTTATCTTGGCTGTTGTGAATAGTGCTGCAGTAAACCTAGGGGTGCAGATATCACTTCAGTACACTGATTTCCTTTCCTTTGGATAAATACTCGTAGTGAGATTGCTGGATATCTCTCTCTCTGTCTCTGTCTCTGTCTCTCTCTCTCTTTCTCTCTTTCTTTTTTTTTTTTTTAAGAGACTGTCTCATTCTGTCACCCAGGCTGGAGTGCAGTGGTATGTTCCTAGCTCACTGCAACCTCCAATTCCTGGACTCAAGAGATCTTCCTGCCTCAGTCTCCCAAGTAGCTGGGACTACAGGTAAATGCAACCACTCCCAGCTAATTTTTAAAATTTTTTAATGTTTTGTAGAGATGGGGTCTCACGGTGTTGCCCAGGCTGGTCATGAACTCCTGAGCTCAGATGATGTGATACTCCTGCCTTGGCCTCCCAAAGTGCTGGGATTCCTGTTGTGAGCCACCATGCCTGGCCTCATCATTATTTTTTAATAGGATCATTTAGGGTAGTACATCTTAAGGTTTTGTGTCTGTGTTTTGCATTTTTTTGTTTTTACTTAACCAGTTATTCTGGTTGTCTTTTCCATGTCAGTATATAAATTTATCTCATACTTTTTAAACAGCTGTATAATATATTACAGTCAGGGATAAAAAAAGGGGCACTCTTTTAGTAGGTCATGTGTTTTAAAAGCTAGCTGTTCTACCTAAAGTTTTAAGTAGAGGAGAAATAAAAAAGGAATTAAAATATTTAAATAGTGGTAGTACAAAGAAAAGGGAAGAGGTTATGAACAATAAAAACAGACGTGTGGTTGAAAATGAGTGATATTGGTGAGCAGCAGACCCTCTGTCAATACAGAAAGCCAATAATGATACCTAAAAAAGGGATCATTTTCGTATAGGGGGAGGCACAGAGCTACTTAAATGTACCAATAGCCCCTAGGCATCAGTGTGTGTGTGTGTGTGTGTGTGTGTGTGTGTGTGTAGTGTGATAAGCAAATTAAGTTGTCTAATGTGAAAGCAGCATTAAGGTTTAGTTCTAGCACTGCCCTATACCGCTAGAGCCTTGGTCATATCACCTATGTTGTGTGTTACGAACTTGAGGAGTTTATGAGATAGTGTACCTGAAAGCACTTCGAAAATGTAAAACATTACATAAATGTGAATGTTGCAGTTTTAGTAAAAATACTTAAAATAGCCTTAAAAGCTGGGCGCAGTGGCTCACGCCTGTAATCCTAGCACTCTGGGAGGCCAAGGCGGGTGGATCGCTCAAGGTCAGGAGTTCGAGACCAGCCTGAGCAAGAG